TTCTATCTCTCCTGATATGAAAATTGCTGCTTTGCTTTACAAAGAACAGTAGTGTTTTGAAATAATTATTAATCTGCTTTCTCAACATTCTGACAGTTTGTTCTTTTCACGTCCACTGAATTAAACCCCAGAATGATCATGAACAATACAAATTGTTTTGGGATCATGTGAAGGCAGAAAAAGCCTGAAGTGTCTATATGAGTTTAATGCAATTTCCATTAACAAAACATCCAAACATGCGGTGAGTGTAGAATATAAGAATGCAAGTAAAAATAAGGTGAGCAGTCCTCTTTCTGGATTTCTCACAACCACAAGACAAAAGTGACAGGAGGACACAGCAGGAATGAAAGTTAAAGTGACGGTTGCCAGGTAACGAGCATCTTCTCACCAAGTAAAAAGCTCTAAGCCCACAGCATGGTTTAATTAAACCAACACCTTTGTGATATTTGCAAAGGGAATAATAAGATCATTTACTCACCACCAAAAATCTTTTTTTCTTGCGTAAAATGCAACTAAAGGTCAGAGCTTTGTGCTGATGGTTCCTGCTCCGTTGGTGCTCGTAAGAAATGAGAAGCTTCCCTCTCTGTCTCTCTCTCTCTCTCATGCAGACGCACCTCCCCTTAAACTGACTCCATGTGTCCAGATGTGTCATGTGCTGCAGCTCACTCCGCTTGATTACGAAAAGCGTTGGTGCGCTGCAGGATAATCCAGATTAAGTGTGGTGCGGTCCTAACAGGCGCGCACACAATCTCGCCCGCTGAACTGCGCTCGTTGCAGAGTATGAATCTTTGCCTAACCTTTACACAGGCTGACAGTTTCTCCTCTGCCGGAGGGGGAACAGTACAACTACTACTGTATACTTTTTCATATTGATGCAAAAGCCTCTTAATAAAAAGAAAGTGAAGATGATAAATTGACTGTTATTGTCTTTTGTGGTTCATTAAAGAAAGGAGTGCCAAAGAAGGACAAAAGAGGATACAAGAAACATGCCCTTATTTCTTCTGTTTCTCTTCTTCCATATTGACCTAAATAACTTGAAGACCTAGAAAAGACAAAGAAACAGGGTAGAGTTGTCTCAAGCAGTGTTCAAACAGGGACCCCCCATCCATCAAAAACTAAAAAGGGTACTCACCACCCCACATGTAACAGAAATGTGTTTTGGATATATTCATTTTAAAGCTCATTTACAAGTTAGACATTTTATTGTCTTATATACTAGATGTAAAGAGAGTAAAAACAATTATTTACTATAATCAAGGTCAAGTGTTCCTTGAAAGAATGCGTATCACCTGCTGATCGTCTTGTGCTTTAACATGACAGAGTAACAGCTGATTTTATTAATGCCTTGAAAAAAAAGAATTAAGCATGAACTCACTCGAAATATCAAGACCTCGCACGATCTGTTAGCACTCAGAGTATGTGTTGGGGATGACTCAGTTACTACCTCGTCAAGTTATAGCTCAACATTTGCAAAATTGGCTGAATTGTAGACGCTGAATTGAATTGCGAACATTCATGACTGTAGACGTGGATGTTTTTTGTCAAACAAGCGGCACACCGATGTGCCCCATCACCCAGGACTTTGAATAATGAATGTTTGTAGTTTTTGGCCTAGATGGTTTAGGGGCAGGGCAGCCGACTTGGGCCTGGGTTCGATCCCCGGTCATTGCACATCTCGTGGTGTCTCTGAGCAGGAAACCTTATCCCGAAATGCACCCTGGGTGCTTACATAGCTGCCCACTGCTCCATCTGAGTGTATCCCAGGTGATATCCTGATGCATGCTCAATAATCCAGGTAGAAAAATCCAAAAAAGTTAAATCTGGTCCAAAAAGGACCAGAATCTGGCCAAAAGGATGGCCCAGCACAGAAGGCCAACATCATCAGGCCAGGATTCTGCGGTCTACACTCATCTCCAGGCCAGTGGTCACTCTTTCAAGGATGAAGATGTTCACATCCTGGACAGAGAGGAACGATGGTTTGAGAGAGGAGTAAAGGAGGCCATCTTTGTGAAAAGAAATCGTCCATCATTAAACAGGGGTGGAGGCCTCCGGGTTCAATTGTCCCCCTCTTACAATGCTGTGATTGCTAGTATCACTCAGCCCTCTGTGAGTAGTAAACAGCCATCAGTGTGCTAATGATCCATTGTTAGGCTGATGGTCCTTCTTGAGCATGTGATCAGCTGGTTTTGGTTGTCAGCAGCAAAACTGGTTGATCCACTCTGAGAAGGTGCTATTTAAGAGACTGAGCTGAATACAGCTCCTCAGACTGAGGAAGTCTCTCGGATGAGAGCCGAAAGGTTCCTACTTTTTTTGCTTTTTTTTTTTTCTCTCTTTTTGTTTTTTTGAATGTCCAGAGGACCAGATTGAACTTTTTTGGATTTTTCTACCTGGATTATTGAGCATGCATCAGGACATAATCATCAGTATTAAAACAATTAAAGACCTGAAATATTTCAGTTGGTGTGCAATGAATCTGAAATATATGAAAGTTTCATTTTTATCATTACATTATGGAAAATAATGACCTTTATCACAATATGCTAATTTTTTGAGAAGGACCTGTATATATATATATATGTATATACTGTCTATAGCGGTGACCATCTTGGATTGTGACATGGCAACCCAATTTTTGATAGTGACCTTTCTTACGCCAAGATGCAGTAACGCACCAAAATGGAAGTTGGAACCTTACTTGTTTCAATTTAATTCAATTCAGTTTATTTATATAGCACCAGTTCACAACAAAGTCATCTCAGGGCACTTTACAGAAACATTCACATACATAGAAAAGCCAATTAGTAAAGTTCTCTATCTAAGGAAGCAGCAGACTTGTTTAATCTTGGCTTCGTTGCAGTCTCCCATCTTTAGGAAGTACAATATCAACAGTGGAAATGCAAAACTCCCTTTTAAAGGAAGAAACCTCCAGCAGAACCAGGCTCAGGACAAGCGGCCATCTGCTTTGACCGGGTGGGTTTCAGAGGACAGGAAGGAGAAACAAACAAATACAGAATCGCAGGTCCAGATATAGGTGCAGGTGTACCTGAAAGACAAAAACACATGTTAGGATAGAATAAAATAATTACAAATACAAAACAGGTTGAGCAGAGTCAGTAAAGACAGTAGCATTGTGAAAAAATGTGGCTAGTTTGTCCTCCAGCAGTCTAAGCCTATAGCAGCATAACTAAGGGATAGCTCAGGAAATCCAAGCCGACCCTAACTATAGGATTTATCAGAAAGGAAAGTTTTAAGCCTAGTTTTAAAACTGGACAATGTGTCAGCCTCAAGGACAGAAACAGGAAGTCGGTTCTACAAGACTAGTTCGGTTCGGTTCGGTTCGGTTCTACATAACTGAAAGATCTTCCTCCCGTTCTGTTTTTGGAAACTCTAGGAACCACAAGTAAACCTTCAGTCTGAGAGCGAAGTGCTCTGTTAGGAAAATATGGAACAATAAGATCTGTAATATAAGATGGAGCTAAATTGTTTGCTAAATTTCTGTTATCCGGCTCACAGGAAAGATAGATGGATGAAGGATATTTCCAAGTGCCCTCTTCATTCTGTGACGTGTGTACAAAAACAGTTTAGTGCTGTAGGATTTACAGAAAATAAAATGAGAATGGTTTGAGATGGGGCAGGATGGTGGCACAACTGGTAGAGCTGCTGCCTCTCAGCGAGCAGGTCCTTGGTTCAAACCCCGGTCCAGGGGCCTTTCTGGGTGGAGTTTGCATGTTCTCTCCGTGCATGCGTGGGTTTTCTCCGGGTGCTCCGGTTTCCTCCCACGGACCAAAAACATGCATGTTAGGCTGATTGGTAACTCTAAGTTGTCTCTAGGTGTGAGTGAGAGAGTGAATGGTTGTTTGTCTCGTTTGTCTCTATGTGTCCCTGTGATGGACTTGCGACCTGTCCAGGGTGTACCCCGCCCCTCGCACAGTGATTGCTGGACATGGGCACCAGCGACCCCCGTGACCCAAAATGGAATAAGCGGGTAAAGATAATGGATGGATGGATGGATGGAGATGCCTATGAGAACCCTGCATCATATTACACTTATTATGTAACCATTAGGTTAAGGTTCTTTATTGTCATTTGCATCACAGGTGGTACATAAGGTGGAATAAAATTGTGTACTCACGGTCCCAGTTATATCCAAAGATAGCGAAAATATAAAGTATAAAAAAGAAACCTTATACAAGGATCTAAGATATGCTCTAAACAGTAATAATGTAAAGTAATATGGTGCATAATATTTCAGCACAAAACTATAAATGCTTTCAATACAATTTTTTGTGCAGGATAAAGATAATGATTGGATGGAATATACATAATAATTATAGAAAATATCTGCTCCAAATCTTTTCTTTAAGAAGACAGTGTTAATCTTCTTGTGTGCTCTTTTCTGCGTTGTTAAAAAAAAAAAAAAAAAATGCTGACCTGACCTCCATCTTTGGCTGTAATTGCTGTTTTACATAAGAACAAAGCGTAGACTTGACTTGCATGGCCTATATTTAGAGTGCAGCAATAAAAGGTCTGCAGCTTAACATAGCTTCCTGACATATGGCGTAATGGTAATTCCACAACTCTTACTTCGGTGTTTGTGAAGTTAAAGGAGCGCTGAAGTCCAGGAGGCTTCGTTGTTCCCACCAACCCCAGCTTAGAGTCTGTGTTGAGCCCAGTGTGTGTGACTGGGTGTTCGTCAAACTAACACCCCTTTCTCATCTCACATGCCTCACCATCTGTTGCAGTTGTTCAAAAATAGCCCTCTCCCAGAAGCTTCCCGAAGTGGCCAGCAGACGAGCAGAGCTGGACCACCTAATGCACGCAAGTTGTTGTTTTTTTATTACAGAGGCCACGTGTTGGATCAGAAGTGGCTCCAAACTACTGAACTGCTGTTTATTTGGAAACTGCTTCTGATTTTTTTTTTACTTTTAATGTGTAGATAATCTTCAGCTTTGTGTCCTGAACTAGAATGTCTACTTGAACTGCTCCAAACGAAGTGAAAAATGGAGCCTCTTTCCGACCAGTTCTTGGAGTTTCACCCTATCCATGGTACTAACGTCAAACTGAACCACTCAGGAACCCAGGCCGTACGAGTGGAGAGCTTTGCCAACGGAGTTTGTTTTAGCAAATACCCTCTGAAGCCCGGAGAGATTTTTCTCATCGAGATCGAGGAAAAGGAAATAGGCTGGTGTGGTCACCTCCGGATGGGTCTGACCGCCAGGGATCCCAAAAGCTTAGAGGTGGTGCCTGAATACTCCATTCCAGACTTGACAGAGTTGGGGGACAGCTGGGTCTTTGCCATCACTCGCAACCACAACAAGATTGTTGAGGAGGAGATCCCAGAGTCTGGAGAACTTCCTGGAGGTCAAAGACTTGGCCGAGGAGAGGCAGAAGATGGAGATGGAGGCAACAACACCAAACCAAAGACTTTCTTCACTGACTCTCACTTGTACATTGACAATGTTCGAATCCCCAGGGACAAGCTTGTCGGTCGAAGTCGTCCGGGACGCTACAGCCACATCTTGGACGACTTGTACAAGACCAACACCCTGCCTCCTACAGCCAGGCGCAGCAGAATCGGAGTTCTGTATGTGCAAAAAGGCAAAGACGTGGCTGATATGCACATTGTGATCAACGGAGAGGACATGGGAGCTTCTGCGAAGGGAATACCCACCACCCTGCCTTTATATGCTGTGGTGGATGTTTTTGCTGCTACAAAGTGTGTCCGAATCGTCCAAGTGGAGTACGGCTGTGAGTGTCTTTACACCGTGCTGGTGAAAACAAACCATTTATGATCATTTTGTACATTAGTACCGTATTTTCCGGCGTATAAGTCACAGTTTGTTTGTTTTTTTTACATAGATTTGTCAGTGCTGTGATTTATACGCCAGTGACTTTTTTCCCCATATTTATAACGCAATTTTTGACTGAAGCTTTAAATTTCTAAGAACTGCAACACCGAGTCCTCCCCTGCATGCTCGCTTTACTCAGCGGGTGCAGGCGGAGGACCGCTGGAGAGCTAGTGGCTCCAGCCGCGATGGATGGAAGGATGGATGGATGGATGGATGAATGGATGGATGGATGGATGGATGGATGGATGGATGGCGCCGCGCTGTCCAAGCGAAAGGAAGCTGTTCAGACCATTAAATAAACACGATGGGTCAGCGGTGATGCATAATAAATGCAACTTATACGCCTAAGTGACATATGTTTTTTCCTCTTCATGATGTTTTTTATGACTGATGCAACTTATACACGTGAAAATACGGTAGTTATTTTAAACCTACTTGCCATCTTTATTTCTGCTGTATGTTGTCTCTGCATATCTTGTTGGTGTGTGTTTTATGTTGATCTCATTTGTATTTGCTTTGTGCCTAAATCAAAACAGTCCATGCTCAATGATCCAGGTGTACAATCCAACAATTTTCAGTCAGGTCATCTGGACAGTTTCTTTTTTTTTTAGCTGAAATGTTTCACCTTCCATCCAGAAGGCTTCATCAGTCAAAGAAACACACAACACAAAACTGATTCTTCCCCCAAACAGCTTACTCCAAAGTGGAACAAACCAGACGTTTTAGAAACTTCTCCATTTCCTCGTCCTTGCTGTGCTTGAAGAGTAAAGCAGCTTGACACATTTGACTGGCAGCCAATCAGAAAGATGAGCATGGGGAAAAATATAGTTCTATATATTATTATAAAATATATTTTAAAATAATGATTGAAAAATAGATTTGGTTTTATTATAGTAATTTAAATACGTTCAAATTTTAAGTACAAAATATAAATTTTATTCTTGCTTTATCGTCTTCTCTCCAGCTTTCTCAGCCCCCCTGGCAGCCCCCAATTTGAAAAACACTGCCCTAAGAAAATGTTTACACACAGTGCCTCCGTGGTTAATACACATTATTTTATAGGATTTAAGAAACTATTGTTACATTTCATGTCTTTTTGTAGTCGCTGTGGTTTTGCGAGGGCTTTCGTGGTTTTCCTAGTTATTTTTTAAATCTCTTAACTGAAGCAAATCACTGCCACACCAGAAAATAAGAAAAGCACCGTATCGTGTAACAACGAAAGGTTTATTGCTCAAGCAGTATTATTTTTATTATATAGCATTATATTGTCATGTTTTCTATATGTTTTCCACAGCATGAAAGTTTTCAAGCAACCACAACATAATGTTAGTTTTGTTGTTCAAGAATTATTGTTTTTTTTTTACTGTGACCAAAATTATATACAGTATATTATCAAAAAAAAATAAGTAGAAAAGGTAAGCATGTTCAAATGAAAAATGTTAGATTAGACTTTTTACATTGTTTTTTTTTATTTTTTATTCATGCTGGTTGGCAGCAATCCACTTCCGTGCTCAAAGTATTTTATTTTCTCATTTTTTAAAAGTCACTTTAAGGTGTGTTGTGAACAGCCAAGCGTTTCTGGACTCTGGACTTTTAGCTTTTTCTCTTCTTGTCACAACATTCAGCTAACCTGTTGTCCTCTTGTCTTTCCTGCATCTCTCCAGTTTCCTCTCTGCAGACGCTGTGCAGGAAGACCATCCAGAAGCACATTGTTCACAGGATGGCCATAGACTGGCTCCAGCTGCCCGAGGCCCTCAAACTCTACTGCAAGTTTGAATGAAGCACGTGGACCTGCAGGGGAAAGAGCTTTATTTCTGTTCTCTCCCCCAGTCTTCTATGAAATATATATATATTTATTGTAACTAAAACATTTTGTCTTATCTCCAAAATGAAGCAAAACTTGTTCTGATTACTGTGTCGATGAAAAGAATTCACTCATTTGGATGTTTTGTGCTTTTTATGCTGCCACAATAAGTCAAGCTCAAAATAAACTGAACTTCTTTACAAAACTCTTTCAGAAACCGTCCTTAATGTCAACGTGAATTTTTATTTTTTTTAACTGTGTAAAATCATTTTCTCTTGTAAATGAGTCCCAGAGGCTCAATGGGATTAACCTGTATAAATAACGGTTGAATTAATGCATTTAAACTAAAAGATGTAATGTGAAATAAGCGATTGACTAAATATTCAACTCCTTTAAAATTACTCTCCTAATCCAACTCAGAGAAAAGTGCATATCACCCGACACCTTTTAAAGCCAGAGTGTTAAACAAAGTCATCTCATGTATGGAACAAATCAGTCAGACTTTGTCCTGGCTAAATTAGATTAGCTGTGTTGACCACCTTGAGTTATATTAACCCCAAAACATACTCAATTTTAGATGTACTTTTTGTCTTTAAGCATTGGTTCTAGAACTGAAATGTTGTTGCATTTCTAATTGATATGAGGATTAAATGCTGTTTTTAAAATGGTTTAAAACAGAGAACCAAACATGGACTATTACAGTGACTCTGCTGCAGAAACTCCATGCAGGTGTGGAAAAATATCTGTGCAGCTGAAGCCGCTGTTTCATAGTCTCAACCTATTATTAAAGAATGATTCAAACATACACTTTTTTTTTTGTGTGTGTGTAAACTGGAGCCACTTCAGAGGTCAGGTTGCAGACACCAACAAAGGAAATGTCCTGCATTTAGTTGTCCGACACTGACCTCTGGTGGCGGAAACACGAAGCGCAGCAGAAGGAACTCCTTTCTTGTGGTTTTAGAGAGTATGTTCTATTGTAAACTTAATATGACCTTTTCTAATTTAAGTGGCATTTAAAATAAACGCTGTTTGATGGAGCAACGTGAATAATTACAAAAACATGAAAATTAAAAACAGCTAAATGATGACTTGTTTTATAGCAGAAGAATAATTATATATAAAAAAATAACATTTTCAGGTTTAGCTATAAAATTGGGCTACCCTTGGCTACTGTTTTAGTCAGTGGTAGCTGCTCAATAGCGGGCGCTAGGGCACCGCCCCACAACTTAACCACTCACCAAATTATATTAAAGACTTGAAAAAAATTAATAAAAATGAAATAATAAAATAAAAATATTTAAAAATACGTGTATATACTTTTTTTAGTTGTTTAGGATAAATATTTTATAGTTAGTGATGAGTTAATTGTTTCTTTCGAAAACATATTTGATTGGTGACGTATTTCCGCCCTGGGGGGGGCGCAAGAATCTTAGCCCATAGACTCTTGTTAAAGGTTGTACATGCGCAGTTAGATCCTCTTTGTTACAAGAGATAGGAAGATTCTGGGCGCGCCACTCCAGCGCCCTGAGTACTGGCACACTGCATGGATTGTGCTTCCAGTCCCGTCGTCCCAGTACAGATTTATTTATGTATTTGTCCTGGAACAGATCGTGCAGTGACATTCACAACAAGGCTATGTATGAAATATCATTTAGTTGTCAGACTGCAGCGCATTTAATAGAGGTCAGGCATTAATTTTGATCAGGCAGTTGGGAGACCTGCTGCATTCAGCCAAGGTCCTGTGTAGAAAGGAGAGAGGACTGGAGGTGATGGTGAGGTGATGTTGAAAAATCTCCCGGCAGTCATCATTAATGTACCTTATTGAATGAAATATTATTAAAAGTCGTACTTACAGTCAGGGAATTTTCATTTTCGTTCTCAGGTTCTTCTTCAATTATGAAGTTATTCTTGTTGTGTGAAGAACAGAAGTTAATGCTGTGTTTTACAATTTTGTACGCGGACAGTAAAAATAGTCACTTTTTTATTTTTAAACAAACTTTTGAGTTTTGTCATTTATGTTTCGTTCACAGCGAACTGGGACGTATTCATTCATTCAACCTTTATTTATACAGGTTGGTCTCATAACCTGGATAAATAAAGGTCGAATGAATGAAGTGAGTCACGAGGACTCGTTTACAAAAGAGACCTGTTTTTAAACAAAGAACATATAAAGAACAGAAAACAATAAACTACAGTAAAATGCAATTAAAATAAAAGTAGTGTTTATAAAACAATAAATCAATGTGCCATATAAAACGAGGTAAAATACAAAAAACAAGAACATAAAACACAAATTGCGTACTTAATATGTTTATAAATACCATATTTTTCACCATATAGGTTGCACCTTTTTGCATAAATTTACAAGTCCTGTGACTTTTACATTGAAGCGACTAATATACATTTTTCCCCCCATATTTATAATCTAATTTTTGGCTGAGAACTGATGATTTCATTCATTCGGACATGGAAAATATTGAACACTAACATTTTCAGCCACTAGAGGGCCCTGGACTAATTTGGCAAGCCAAGTGTCTCATTAATAGGTAAAATTGGCTATTAATGAGACACTTGGCTTGACGCCCAGACGAAATGCAGCTGATTTGACCTTTAAAGTGCATTTATTAAGTAAAAGTTAAACTGAGACACACCTTTACTATAATTTCGAGCAAACAAATAATTGTTTTTAAGTGCTAATCTTGTTAAATTCTTGTTAAAGTCCTCCCATGCACACTCCCGCAGCTGCCATTTGGCAGCCAATCCATTTTTGGCACATCGGCCCATATTTCCAGGTAGTCAACGGTGACACATAACAAATGCGACGCATAATAGATGCGACTTATACAGCAAAGCAACGTATTTATGCATTTTTCCACTTTTCCACTTTAATAGACATTTTTGGACTGATGCGACGTGTACGGTGGCAAGTACGGTATATGTTTTTTATTTTATAGTCGGTAGATCACTTGGACTTGGTCATTGTAAACGTAGATTGCATGCTGAAAAAATATGGGCACCCTTGATTTAGACTCTCGCCTTTCCTTCCACAGTTAGAACAGGTCGCTTCATATCAAAACCAGAAACATTCACCAGTTGTTGCTGCTGTAAAACTAAATCAGTCAGTTCTTGTTTTTTCAAACCAACTGTTGGTGAAACCATTCCATCTATGCACTGAAACCAATATGAACCAGTTGTGTTTATATGCAGACAATGTTTAAATACAGTGCTTTTATTTTTTCCTGTTTTTCTCATCAAGTACAGCAGTGTTGCTGTAAAAACCTCAAACAGTGGTACAAACATTATATTTCACGGTAGCTGAGCTCATTTCATGTATTGCTTCGATTGTTACTCACAGTCATCGTAGGGCAAAACGTTCACTTTCTCTTCTTTTTTTTTCAAAACAGCACCAGATCTTGATTGAGACTAAAATCCTAACATGACAACTATTTATGTAAATTTATTTGGTGGAGTTACTGTGACCAAATATAATAAAAGTACATACTATACACTAGGTTTAAGCTAGATTCGACCAATTATAGCATTATAATCACCATCAGTTTTATATTTATGCACTGGTTTCAGTAATCTGGTGCTGTATTGTGTAGGTATGACACCCACGTTCTCTTGAAAGTGCACTGTAATGTTTGATTGCATCATAAATACATGAAACTTTTGTATTCTTTGAGTGGAAGGTTCCTTTAATTACTTTTTTCCACTTAGAGCAGGGGTCTGCAAACTGCGGCTCTTTGGTCTCTCTGCAGCAGCTCTTTCAAGCTTTGACCAAAACTAACATAAAGCTGAATTTTATAGGATGTTATACCCACAACAACAAAAAAATACAAGTTTTAGCAGTTTTCCAGTCATTTCCTTTGCAAATATGTGGATACTAGTACTAGAACACAGAGTGAATTACACTCGTGTTAACTGTATGCTTTATTTCTTCAAAGGATACGTACTCAGTTTCTTCACAATAAAACAAAAAAACACATAAGCCTGCACATCCTGATGCATGCTCAATAATCCAGGTAGAAAAATCTAAAAAAAAAAGTTAAATCTGGTCCTCTGGACATTCAAAACGTTTCTACTTTTTTTTTTTTTTTTATGTCCAGAGGACCAGATTTAACTTTTATAAATAAGCCTGCACAGTTCATTGTTTTATTATATATATTTCTTTAATTGGAAAAATAATATCTTTTTTTTTTCTTTACATGAATCCAGTTTTCTGTGGTAAACTTGCAACCTGGATATCGGCACCAGTAACTCCCTGTAAACCGAAAAGGAAAACGCGAGTAAAGGCAATGGATGGATGGATGGATGGATGGATGGATGGATGGATGGATGGATGGATGGATGGATGGATGGATGGATGGATGGATGGAATCCAGTGTTTTCTTTTATCTTAAAATGTAAAAATATCAATAAATGTTAACAATCATTGGATATTTTTTGTTTTATAATTTCACACCTACTGGCCAGAAAAGTTCCCTCTAACAAAGTTAAAATGGCCCATGGGCCACCAGTTGATAATGACACTTGCAGCAGGTTTTTGCAGCTCTGGACATGTTTAATTTAGTGAATGAAAGGCAGAAATAGCTCTTTTGATCCTAAAGGTTGCAGACCCCAGACTTACAGGTACAGGATGATGTTGTCCCCTAAGCTGACCTGTAGATGGAGACATCACCCTGATGGTGCACATTCACTGTGATCAACAGTGTTCTGCAACAGAGGTTGTAGAACACTGTTGTCTAAATGTGTGTTTTTTACATATAAAGAGTCCGTATGGGCTTGGTGCCTTGTATTATGAAGGTTGATGTTTTAGCTAACAGCCAGGGCCGGCCCAAGGCATAAGCAAACTAACCGGCTAAGTTAGTGAATCTGTTTGTTGTTGATCTTGCACTACAAATTATTTTGAACATTACTGTTGCAGTTCTTTAGAACCAAAGACAATAAACCCTATGACACTTTTGCTGTAAAGA